GGACTGACGTTTTTAAGTTAAAGACGTCAAATGGACTAATGTCTTTATCCAAAAATGTCAATTCATTTGACATTTTTAAGCTAAGAGTCTGGGAAGTATGTAAGTTAAAGACGCCAGTCCAATTTGATGATACACAAAACTGTAAGAATAAAACAGTAAATAATAGATCAATACAGGAATTTATAGTGATTCGGTCCGGGTGACCTACTCCATTCTCTAGAATGGCAACGATGGTCTGGTGTTCTTTATTGATGAATCATGGTCTCTGGAGAGTTACATTGCTTTTGAGAGAGAGAGAGAGAGATGTGTGCAAAGAGATTTTGGAGGCCTCAAGGTGTAGAGGTCTCAAGAAAATCCTTGGAGGAATTGGAGGCGTGCCCTCAATATAGAGAGGACTTACATTATATTGCTAGGATAAGGCAGTAGAGGCGGTGGCGTGAGGGAGTGGAATTCTACTGCTTTGGCAAGTATTATTATGATAGGAGATCTTCTATGTTTATCTCCATATTATCTTCCCTCGTGCTCCTATTCATTCGGAGGAGAACATTAGTTGGATTGAGCTTGACCCTCGTCTTGGACCTGGACTCGGATTGGAGTACCAAGGTGAAGAGAAACAAAAGGAGAGGCGCCCAAGGGCTCCCTTTTCCTCCTCCTCCTTCGGCTTTTGCCTTTTGGAGAATACTGCGAAGCAAGTAGGGCTCAAGCAACAGACACGAGAGAATGCTGCGGAGCAGTAGGGATTGGCTCATGAATGAGGTGCTAAGTTGGAGGTTGAGGCTGCTCGGGAGTAGAGGTAGAACTACGTATAGCTCAGAAGAGGGCTACCGTAGCAGATACTCATTCCATTGAGATGGAGATAAGGAGGGCTCTCTTATTCCATTGAGATGGAGATAAAGAGGGCTTTGAGGAGCTGGGTGCCTAAGACTCATTCCACTGAGATGTAGATGAGGAAGGTGTTGAGGAGCTGAGCGCCTGAGGCTCATTCCATTAAGATAGAGATGAGGAGGGTGTTGACAAGTTGGGCGCCTGGTGAGAGGGGGTGAGACCCATTGTCTGGGCCCGCCTAGTAAAAAGGGGTGAGACCCATCGTCTAGGCCGCTTGGTGAGAGGGGGCAAGACCCACCGTCTAGGCGACATTGAAGGAGGTGCCAAGGTGGAGAGGGCGAGACCGTCATGAGGACGCCTAAGGTGGAGAGGACAAAACCCCTCCTCTAGGCAACATCATGGGAGGCACCCAAGGTGGAGAGGGCAAGACCGTCATGGGGGTGCCTAAGGTGGAGTGGACAAGACCCCCCCTCTAAGCGACATCATGGGAGGCACCCAAGGTGTAGAGGACGAGAGCGTCATGGGGGCACCTAAGGTGGAGAGGACGAGACCCCTCCTCTANTTTTTTGGACTTGTGATTACAAGTCATATCTTGAATGCATACAATTATATGCAAAAAATGAAATTTTGGTTAAATTTGGGTTTTATGTAGTTAGAAGACTCGAACCAGGACAGACAATTTGCATCTCATCCTTTATTTTAACCATTAAACTAAGAGTAATGTTAGATGAATTTAAAAATTAAATATGATAATTCCAACTATTGGAGCTTTTGACCCATCCTATAGTCTTTTAAAAAAAGTCTCAAATAAGGGTGAGTTTGAAAGTAATTCTCAAATGCAGACACTTTTTAAAAAGGTCAAACGGACTGACGTTTTTAAGCTAAAGATGTCAAATGGACTAATGTCTTTATCCAAAAATGTCAATTCATTTGACGTTTTTAAGCTAAGAGTCTGGGAAGTATGTAAGTTAAAGACGCCAGTCCAATTTGATGATACACAAAACTGTAAGAATAAAACAGAAAATAATAGATCAATACAGGAATTTATAGTGATTCGATCCGGGTGACCTACTCCATTCTCTGGAATGGCAACGATGGTCTGGTGTTCTTTATTGATGAATCATGGTCTCTGGAGAGTTACATTGCTTTTGAGAGAGAGAGAGAGAGAGAGATGTGTGCAAAGAGATTTTGGAGGCCTCAGGGTGTAAAGGTCTCAAGAAAGTCCTTGGAGGCATTGGAGGCGTGCCCTCAATATAGAGAGGACTTACATTATATTGCTAGGGTAAGGCAGTAGAGGCGGTGGCGTGAGGGAGTGGAATTCTACTGCTTTGGCAAGTATTATTATGATAGGAGATCTTCTATGTTTATCCCCATATTATCTTCCCTCGTGCTCCTATTCATTCGGNGATGAGTTGTAGCCTTCAAGAGATTGTTTGAATTTCTTCGAGGGGTTGTTGGCATTCTCTGTCGTCCTGGTCCTAACTAGGTTGCGGGGCTTGTCCTCTACCAGCAACATATTGCCACAACTAACCACGATGTATGAGCATCTCTATCTGCCTCTTGAGCTTATAGCAATCATCTATGTCGTGGCCATGGTCGCGGTGGAAGCGACAGTGCCTGTTGTGATTTCTATGGTTTGAGGCGGACTTCATTTTTTCAGGCCAACGGAGTGTGGGGTCATCCTATATCTAGAACAGGATATGCTCCACAGAGGTGTNTTAGAGGCGTGCCCTCAATGTTGAGAGGGCTTACATTATATAACTAGGGTAAGGTAGTAGAGGCAGTGGCATGAGGGAGTGGAATTCTACTGCTTTGGCAAGTATTTTTATGGTAGGAGATCTTCTATGTCTATCTCCATATTATCTTCCCTCGTGCTCCTATNGGATGTCTTTCCTCTTTTCCCCTCCTTGGGAGGGCTTACCTCGATGGGCCTTGGTGACGTCCTCAGCATTCATGTACTTTTGTACCTTTGACAGCAGCTCGGGCATGCTGGAGGGCGAATTCTTGAGGACAGAGAACATAAAACTGGAGGTGTGGAGGCTGGCGATAAAGGCGGCAAGAGATACCTTATCATCTGGCTCCTCAATCTAGAGAACCTCTTCATTGAAGCAGGTGAGGTAGTTTCTCAGGCTTTCATCCTTGTTCTACTTGATGGTGAGTAGGTGGGTCACTAGTCTTTCATGTCGACGTCCCCCAATGAAGTGGGAGACGAAGGACCTGCTTAGTTCTATGAAGGAGCGGATGGAGAAGGGCTTGAGCTTGGAGAACCACTGACGGGCAGACCCTTTTAAGGTGGTAGGGAAGGCCCTACACATGATCTCCTCAGGCACACTGTGGAGTTGCATGAGGGATTTGTAGGTATCCAGATGGTCGAGGGGGTCTTTGGTGCCATCGAAGATCTCGATGGTGGGCATCTTGAACTTCGAAGGCAGCAGGTAACTAACAATGTCAGTAATAAAAGGAGTATCAGTGTGCCTTACTAGATAGTCCACGGTTTCAGGCGCCTGTGCCTTGATGGCGTTGAGGGCATTACCCAGTTGGTCTTGCACTTCCCTGACCTTCTTGTCCCACTAGTTGGGGACATCTTCGATCAGGTGATGGTATTGGCTCTCGTGGTCTTCATACTGACTTTCTCCTTCATTCTCTTGCGCAGGCACGTGGAAAAAGGGAACATGTGTGCTCCTAGCGCGTTGACGAGGGATTATTGGGCGAGGGGTCCTTGTTGTGGCCTTGAGCCGCTTTGGCGAGGCCTCCATGACGAGGTGCTGCTTGGTGCTCTAAGTGATTAGATTGTTGCTCCTCTCCTATTGGGGTGATGCCGTAGCGGAGCCTCCTCTCGGTGTGCTAGGTTGTTATCCCTTGATTGTTGACTCATTGATCGGGTAGTGATTGTCATGGATTGAAAGAGAATAGGAAACTAGTCATTCCCACAGACAGTGCCAAATTGATGATGCACAAAACTGTCTTCGTGCAAGATCAACAGTCAAGTATATGTAAGGGTGCAATTAATGAGTGACAAACAAGCAATCAATGACAATTAAGAGTAAAACAATAAATAATAGATCAACACAGGGATTTATAGTGGTTCAGTCTGAGTGGCCTACTCCATTCTCGGGAACGACAACGGTGGCCTGGTGTTCTTTATTGATGAATCATGGTCTCTGGAGAGTTACAGTGCTTTTGAGAGAGAGAGATTTGTGCAGAGAGATTTTGGAGGCCTCAAGGTGTAGAGGTCTCAAGAAGGTCCTTGGAGGCGTTAGAGGCGTGCCCTCAATGTTGAGAGGGCTTACATTATATAACTAGGGTAAGGTAGTAGAGGCAGTGGCATGAGGGAGTGGAATTCTACTGCTTTGGCAAGTATTGTTATGGTAGGAGATCTTCTATGTCTATCTCCATATTATCTTCCCTCGTGCTCCTATTCATTCGGAGGAAAACATTAGTTGGATTGAGCTTGACCCTCGTCTTAGACCTGGACCTGGACTTAGACTTGGACTTAGACTTGGACCTGGACTCGGATTGGAGTACCAAGGTGAAGAGGAACAAAAGGAGAGGCGACCAAGGGGCTGCCATGGGCGGTGCCCAAGGGCTCCCTTGTCCTCCTCCTCCNTGGACTTGGACTTAGACTTGGACTTGGACTCGGATTGGAGTACCAAGGTGAAGAGGAACAAAAGGAGAGGCGACCAAGGGGCTGCCATGGGCGGCGCCCAAGGGCTCCCTTGTCCTCCTCCTCCTTCGGCCGTTGGCTTTTGGTGCTGTCTTCTTGGTGTCCTCCTCGATGGGTCAAAAATAGAAGCTTCTTTGGGCTTTCTGGATTTATCTAAATTAGGCTTGGCCTAGTAAAATTCGGGCTCATCACAATTGACGTTTTTAACTAAACACGTCAATTGGAGTGACGTCTTTAGGTAAAGTCCGAAATTTACATTTCCCTTTTCTCCCTTATTCCCTTTTTCCCCAAAATCGTCTAAGCCCTAAAATTGCAACCTATCTCCCACCGCTGTTGCAACCAACGACCACCACTCAAGAGCCACCCAAGCTACAACCCAAGGTCACCAAAACCCTCCTCCACCACCCAAACCTCTTCTCAGGCGAAACCACCTGCAACATCATTATCACCATTTGAAACTCTACAGCGACAAATCACCACCACCACTAATCCCTTCAGGTGAAATCTCCACCAACATCCCCCCATTCTGTCTGAGCCCTAATTTAAGTTCCCAAGCTCCTCCTTCAGGAGTCAAATCAACAGCACAACCTCCTTCACGCAACATCTCGACGAACACAGTGAACACCACCTCCACCACCCTTCTCCTCTCCTCCAGTATGTGTTTCACCACCATCTGTGTTTCAATTAAATTAATTTGAATTGTGTTATTAGTTTGTAATTAACTATTAATTATAAATTTAAAGTTAATTTAAATTCTCTGTTAATTTCATTTAATTTAATTTAATTTCTCTATTAATTTAATCTAATTTAATTTCTCTATTAATTTAATCTAATTTAATTTATCTATTCATTTAATTTAATTTAATGAAAATTCTCTGCTAAATTTTATTTCATCTTATCGTTGTGTGACTGTAGATTTAAATTTAGCCCAGAGCTGCCCATGCTAAGAAATTCTTGAGCATGGGAATAAATTCCGCTTCCCAAATGCTTTTTCACCAAAAAATCTTCTGTGCATTTGAGATTCAAAACTAGATCAATGTCAACAATTTGGTGAAGGACCTCCTGTAGTACACAAGAAGTGAAAATGATTACTATACACTGTAAATTATATAATTTCTATATTAATTTCTGTTAATTTAATTTAATTTCTATATTAATTTAATCTAATTGGAATTATCTATTAATTTAATTTAATTTAATGAAAATTGTCTGCTAAATTTTATTTCAGTGAGAGATGAATATTTATTAATGACTTTGCTGATGGACAATGTTTGGGGAATATTCTTGTTACACAGTCAAATACAAACCGTCTTGGGTCTTTTTGGGTATGAATAGGATACTTTTGGGATAGGAAATTTGAAAATGTTATTTTTTTTTACAGTTTGTACATTAGTGCAAATCAAGGTCAATAGAGACTTTTATTTGAATTCTAATGAGAAAGAAGGTAGTAGGAGATGTTAAGATGTTTTTTATCCTAGCTCGCAATCCATATGGTAGCTTATATAAGTTGGTTGAACTTTTTTATGTCTTGTAGCATTTCAAACGAAGCCAATTGGGAATTTTAACAATAATGAGCCATAAGAAGGTCATAATTTGTAGTGGTTGTTGGGTGGCTGGTAGTGGTTGTTCCCGATTTACTTGGATTTTGCTTTTAATAAACAAGCTTGATGTACATATTATTTTTCTCTAGTTTAATCCCTATATTACAAATCAATTGTCTCAAAGGCTTAAAGTGTTTCATTTTGATGGACGAGGAGAATTCACAAGTTGTCAACTGGAATATTTTCTATCTATTCATGGAATTCATCATGCTAAGTCTTGCCTCGAGACCCCTCGGCAAAATGAAAATGTTGAGATGAAACATAGGCACATTACAAAAACTGCTCTCAACATTCTAACTGGAGCATCTCCTCCTTATTCTTTCTAATTATTGGATTAATGATGAACTTTAGTATTTATTGAGACCTACAATCTATTCAATAGTTACAATGAATTAAGTTGGCTAATTATGTTAACAAAGGTTCAAATCACATTATTGCATGTATAAACCTCATTTGCTATATGTAAATGGACATTTCTTTGTGTGATTCGGTTTTACAATGTCATCAATTGGTCATCATTAATGGAGGTGTTACATATTAACAAACTGAGGTTTCAGATTTTTATTAAGAAAGTATCCATCGATCTATCAGTTCATACTCTCTATGGTGTTGGACAAATACGGGTCTATATCCACTTGACTACTATTTCTCTTTTATTTTGTAATGGTTAGATCACTTGATCATCTGGTATTATTAACTCATATAGACCCGTATTGTATCATCCAGAAATGCATAACTTATTCTGTGGCTTTGGACGACCCATATTATTTAATGATATCGACTATTATACAACAGTGATATAATCCAATAGTATTGTAACTAATAGTCGATTTCTTTATTGGGGTTCTTTAATTGTCACTAAATTAGGTTAGATTTTTTAATCCCAATAGCATTACTCCTAGTCAAAATGCTTANGGCTATCATACGACAGTGATATAATCCAATAGTATTGTAACTAATAGTCGATTTCTTTATTGGGGTTCTTTAATTGTCACTAAATTAGGTTAGATTTTTTAATCCCAATAGCATTACTCCTAGTCAAAATGCTTACAGTGGTTTGGTAGGGAGCTACATGATCACCCAAAAAAGTTAGTTTTTTTGCTTTTAATGGATGCCATTTTTACCAACTTTACAAGATCTACTACTTTTTCCTTTTGGATTGATAGGGGAAAATAGATGGTTTTAGTGGCATATTTTTAAACTTTGGATTCCTTTTTAGTGATTAATTTTCTTAAATTCATTATTATTTTTTATTTATTCACCATGATTTTTTTGCCTTTTTTTGGTAACAAATGTCAAATTTTATGCCCTTGATTGTCTTTTGATCGAGAGAAATTTTAATGTTTTCTTTTCTATGGGTTTGTTCTGATGCATAAAGTTGTTGGTTTTGATTNTTGGTACCAAATGTCAAATTTTATGCCCTTGATTTTCTTTTGATCGAGAGAAATTTTAATGTTTTCTTTTCTATGGGTTTGTTTTGATGCATAAAGTTGTTNTGGTAACAAATGTCAAATTTTATGCCCTTGATTGTCTTTTGATCGAGAGAAATTTTAATGTTTTCTTTTCTATGGGTTTGTTCTGATGCATAAAGTTGTTGGTTTTGATTTGAAATTTGTCTAGAGCTGAAGATTGCAAGTTGGAACTCTACAATTATGTAGGATCCTAGATTAATTCATTAGTTGATTGCTCTAGCCAAAACTCTTGCAGTGTTTTGGTTTGGTAGGGAGGTAAAAGATCTTGTTGGAAGCAGGTTTGACAGAATATTCATTTGTATCCAATTCAATGTCATTCTTAACGACCGGTGTTCGATATTTTAAAATATTATTGTAAGTCGAAAAAAATTTAGGATCATAAAGTAAANTCATTTGTATCCAATTCAATGTCATTCTTAACGACCGGTTTTCGATATTTTAAAATATTATTGTAAGTCGAAAAAAATTTAGGATCATAAAGTAAAGTGTAAAGTGTAGCCATTCTAATTTTCATGCCAATGCAAATGATTTGCGGATGCCAATATATCTCAAGGTAACAAAAATGTATTTTTTTTGGGATATATCAACATTTAGTCTCCNAAGTGTAAAGTGTAGCCATTCTAATTTTCATGCCAATGCAAATGATTTGCGGATGCCAATATATCTCAAGGTAACAAAAATGTATTTTTTTTGGGATATATCAACATTTAGTCTCCGGTTCAAATTTCGTCGATCAATCATTTCAAATTCACATCTTTCTTGAAAGAATTTCTTGTGTAATTTGTTACATATGGATGTATCAATTTTTTTCTTTTTTGATTACAATAGATATTATCTAAGTAAGTCTTTTGTAATTCAACATCTGTACAAAGCTAAAAATTCTAATTTAAAAGAATAATAAAATTCATATTATATATATTCCATGTCTGTCTCTCTCAATCTTAATTGAAGTTTAGTATTTATTTCTCTTAGGCATCAAACACCACATTTACTTCAAAAAAAACATGTTGATTTTGAATCAATCAAAGTAACTGCAGTATTGTCATCCTTGAGTTGGATAGTCCTGATAATTATGATAGAGTTGTAAATGTAATTCAATTACTGCCTGGTTAGCAAAAAAATTGCCTACATTGTTTGGGTTCTTGATAACATGCTTCAATTTTGATTCAATACATGACAACATGTTATGAGATACCCTCTTGTGGGGATTATTTATTCAAACTTCCATGTAAAAGTTGTATCTTCATCTTTCTTAGTATCATACAAGTACAAATGAATATAAGTATCATACAAAAGTTGTATCTTCATCTTTCTTCATCTTTGTAGATTTTCTAATTGATAAATTCTTCAAGTATTAATCATTTCTATCTATTTTCAGGTTCTTCTGAATTCAAAACTTATTCCGCAACCGAAACTAATTGAAATGGCAGGAAAACAAGTTACTGTTTTGATATATTGGGGTGGACGAATGAATTATGACTCGGAGGGTATATCATACAGTTGTCCACCAAAAGGTAGTGTTGTTATCAATAGTGATACACAACTGCCGGAGTTATTAAGTAAATTTACACTGTAATGGGGTTGGACATGGCGCATAACAAGTTGAAATTGACATGTAGATATCTTTTTACAGTTGGAACAGGACCAGGACCAAACATAAATACATATGNAGTTGAAATTGACATGTAGATATCTTTTTACAGTTGGAACAGGACCAGGACCAAACATAAATACATATGTCGGTCTGAAAATTATCAACGATGAATTAGTGACTTCTGTGGTTAATGTGGTACTTGACAACCCCAGTATTGCTAGTGTTGCTATGTATGTGGAGACGGAGAACATCAATGCTGGCACAGGCAGTAGTCAGATAGGAGGTGCATAACAACAACTGTCATGTCTTACACTGAGTTGCCTAGGCAAGAGATAGGTCCATTGACATTTCCGACTTCCGGTGTGACGGGTAAATGTTCTACTCCCATTGGGATGCAGGTAATGGATGAATTTGCACAGTACTTTTACAACCAACAAAGAACTGGAACCACGACATACAGTGGGAACTCAGCCAATAATTCACTGAGTCAAACATATGAAATGGGTGAGGTGGGAAGGGAATTAAGTTGGGTGAAGAAGATGATGTCCATCAACCAATAATGCAACAATGCCCAATTCGGAAATATGAAGAAATGTGTGTTATTGATCGTATAGATGTCTCAAACGATGACGACGAAGAAGAAGAGTTTGAGGAAGTCTGATTGATGAGCCAAATGACGAAGATGAGAATGGTGAAGACTTTGAGGCTACTCAGGTTGTGGAGATGCATAAGCCTTACTCTACCTCATTCACAACCACAGAATTTGGTCAGTATACAGAAGCAGATAGCTTTGTACCGTCAGTTGAACAGAATTTGTGGGATCTGATGAAGATGGAGTTAGCAAAGGGCATGATTTTTAAGGATAAATTTTCATTGATTAGAGCTGTTAAATGGTATTCAATCAAGCTGAATCAAGATTTTATCGTGGTCAAGATGAGCACAACTGTGTGAGATGTACAGTGTATCATGTACATGCAGTATAACTGCACGTGGAGACTGTGTGGTTGTTTTAGAAAAAAATTAAAAATGTTTTAGATCATGAAATTTGATGGACCACATACCTGCTTCTACTACCCTAGGATAAGTTGTGACCATCGGCAATTAGACTCTGACTTTATTTGTCATAATATACTAGGACTCGTGGGTGATACACCGCAAACAAAAATTTTGACAATTCAGAAGAATATAAAGGAGAAGTTCAAGTTTGATATTTCCTATAAGAAAACATGGATTGTGAGGAACAAAGTAATTGCTAAGATTTTCGGTGATTGAGACTCGTCATATGACATGTTGCCGAAGTTTTTGGGTGCCATCAAAAAGTATAACCCTGGCTGTGAAGTGGCAGTACACATCTGAAACTACTGACTATAATGTTTTTTTATGAGTATNAAAAGTATAACCCTGGCTTAATTGTGAAGTGGCAGTACACATCTGAAACTACTGACTATAATGTTTTTTTATGAGTATTTTGGGCATTTAAGGCCAGCATTGAAGGGTTTAAATATTGTCGATTTGTTGTCAGTATTGATGGGACATTTCTGCGTGAAAAGTACAAGAAAAAACTATTAGTTGCCACTGCTTTTGATTCTAATAAGCAGTTGTTTCTCATTGCATTTGCTATTGTGGAAGATGAGAATACGTCAAGTTGGGTTTTTTTCCTTTATTACCTTCGGCGAATTGTTCTTAGACATCAGGAAGAGATATGTTTAATTTCTGATAGGCACAAGGGGATCCTTGTTGCTGTGAATAAGGAAGATTTTGGGTGGCATCCATCGCATGCTTATCATCATTTTTGTCTTCGGCATGTTCGTAGTAATTTTAATACAGAGTTTAAGGATGAGGATTTGTACTATCTTATGTGGAGGGCTGAAAAGGCTAGACAGGTTTGCAAGTTCAATGGCTTGATGACCCAGATACGGAACGTCAAAGAGGAAACATATATATATTTAACTAAAATACCATTAGAGAAGTGGACATTAGCCCATGACGGTGGACGACGATATGACATAATGACAACCAACATTTCAGAGGTTTTTAATAGTGTTCTCCAAGGTGCTAGGTATTTTTTCATAACTGCTTGTGCGCAATCGATATTTTATCAAGTTACTGAGNTATTCGTAGTAATTTTAATACAGAGTTTAAGGATGAGGATTTGTACTATCTTATGTGGAGGGCTGGAAAGGCTAGACAGGTTTGCAAGTTCAATGGCTTGATGAACTAGATACGGAACGTCAAAGAGGAAACATATATATATTTAACTAAAATACCATTAGAGAAGTGGACATTAGCCCATGACGGTGGACGACGATATGACATAATGACAACCAACATTTCAGAGGTTTTTAATAGTGTTCTCCAAGGTGCTAGGTATTTTTTCATAACTGCTTGTGCGCAATCGATATTTTATCAAGTTACTGAGTATCATTTTGAACGTCGAGACCAATTGGCAAAATGGAAAGAAAAAGGGATAGAGTTTCCTAAGCATGTTCTGGAACGATTAAAACATGCACAGCAAATGAGTCATGTCCACGACGTGACGCCATTTCATATGGAGCGTGGTCTTGCTGAAGTGTCAACTGGTCGTGGTCATAAGCAAGTTGTGTATCTTGAAGATCATTCATGCACATGCAAAAAATGGGCAATTTATTGAATTTTTTGCTCGCGTGTGTTGATTGTATTCTCTTATCTTCAGTTGTATTTTCAGCCCTACATAGATCTCATATTCATTATCGACACTTTGGAGAAAATTTGGACGCCTGAAAGGTTTCCTCTAGAGGATAAGCATTATTGAGATGATCTCCCACGAGCCAAATTAGTCCCTAATCGTAACCAATGTCGAAACTTGATTGATCGGCCACGGACAATGCACATATGGAATGAGATAGACTTCCCACCAGAGGATCGTAATCAGATACATTGTGGGTTATGCGTCGAATTGGGTCACAATCATTAGAAGTGTACATCCTTAAATACACGGGCTCCAGCACCCTATCAGTAGATTATTTTTTGTTATTTTGTGAGCTTGATATGTTATTGTATGTTATAATCATTTGTCTATTGGACCTATCAATGTGCTTATGTTGTAGCCCCATGTTGGTACAATGTATTGTATTTACATGTTTGTTGTAATGATTTGTTTAATGATTGATGGTGAATGTTCTTTTTTTATATTCATATAGTTATTCATCATGGACATCGATGGATGACAGTTAGTACATCCTGGTCCACATGACCACTCCGTTCTTGCATTACAAGCTAATCATCGATCATAGTACATTTGACAGGGATAGATCTACCTCCGTTGCACTACAGGCGTAGTGATCGCACCGCACAACAGTTACATGTCCCAGATGAGTGTGTGCTCCGTCATTTGGTTACAATCGGCTTTTACAAGGCGCATAATATTGCGTCCAAGCGGTTGGACCATGCACTCATCACAGTGGTTGTTGAGAGATGGCGTGTCGAGACACATACTTTTCATCTTCTGGTGGGAGAAGCTACGATTACTCTTCAGGATGTTGCTGTTCACATAGGTCTACCGATTGATGGTATGACAGTGTCTGGGAGAGATAGTTGTCCGGCAAACACGACATAGCTAGCATTATGCCAGCAGTTGCTCAGTTTTACACCAGCCAAGGGGGCTATCGACGGGTCTTTCCTCAGGCTTTCTGCATTACAAGAGCATTTGGATGGAGGTGTCCCTATAGATGCAGATGATTATTTTATTGCTTCTTATGCTAGAGCCTACATCATGCTCTTGATCAATTCATACCTCTTCCTAGACAAATCTTCTAGCAAGGTCAAGTTGATGTACCTTCCTTTACTTATCAATCTTACATCAGCAAGTCAGTATAGTTAGGATAGCGCAGCATTGGCCTAGCTTTACCGGGAGATGTGCATCGCCACTAGATGTGATACTAAGGATATCGACGGATTGCTTGTTTTAGTATAGGTACACGCAAACTTATGTTTCATGTTTGTTTGAAATATATATTGTTTATTGTAATGACAAATGTATGTGCTACACTACAATTTTTTTGGTTTTTTTATATAGTTATGGGCACGAGAGCGTTTATCACATATACGTCCACAACGATTACTCCCATGTGATCCTTTACATGATGTACATCCAGATGCTAACCCAGCAAATGATGTACCACCTGCACCTACACTGGTACATGGTCTTACACCAGATGTACCAGCACTTGATGACCTACCACCAGAGCCTTGTGGGTGTAGGTAAGACATTTTATTATTCATTACTATTTTATTGTACATCCAACTAATCTTATTTTTTGTGCTATGCTGTTGAGATGTTGCATTTTCTGAGCAACACACGCCTACCCATGTCCTCAGATATTATAGAGATCAATTGGATCAGATGCATGATGACCAGGTATACAGGCGGAACTCTATATTATTTTTTAAACTACTAGATGTTGTTGGATCAGATGCACGATGACCAGGTATACAGGCGAAACTCTATATTATTTTTTAAACTACTAGATGTTGTTGGTTGTTGTTAGATGTGTTGTATGATTGGTAATTGTTGGTTGTTGTTGGATGTGTTGTTGTTGGTTGTTGTTGAATGTGTTGTATGATTGGTAATTGTTGGTTGTTGTTGGTTGTTGGTATAATTGGTAGTTGGATGTATTATGCAATATATTATGCAACAGGTGATTTTGAAAAAAAAATTTGGTGTCATACATATAGGGGAAATTTTGTCGAAATTTTTATTTTTTGGTTACATCTAACAAAATTGGTTTTTATAATACTGCAGATCATATGAAAGCCATTCACCGCTGATATGTTAGCCACTCTACTGGATTACTGCTTACGTGGGTGAGACTTATGGACTTATCGGGCCCTACTCATATGTTTTGATGTGGTGGAGTGACATTTTTTCAGACCGTGTTATACGACAGTTTATATGCAGGTAGCTCATACCAGCACCATGTGATTCCAGTCGGGAGTTGCATGCCACAAATAGGCATGGCAGACATGGTTANAATTATGGACTTATTGGGCCCCACTCATATGTTTTGATGTGGTGGAGTGACATTTTTTCAGACCGTGTTATACGACAGTTTATATGCAGGTAGCTCATACCAGCACCATGTGATTCCAGTCGGGAGTTGCATGCCACAAATAGGCATGGCAGACATGGTTATGACTAGACGATCGCACATAAGCGGNACTTATGGACTTATCGGGCCCTACTCATATGTTTTGATGTGGTGGAGTGACATTTTTTCAGACCGTGTTATACGACAGTTTATATGCAGGTAGCTCATACCAGCACCATGTGATTCCAGTCGGGAGTTGCATGCCACAAATAGGCATGGCAGACATGGTTATGACTAGACGATCGCACATAAGCGGTATATCAGCATGTGGGATCAGCAGCGGGATTCTATTGTTCATGGGGAGCCTACGCTTCACATGATGGATATCACTGATCCCTACATGAACTGGTATCGGCGCATCACTAGGCTACTTATCGAACCACCGGTGTCACGGCCTGACATGAGTTTTCAGCCTATCGGCAGTATCATCGAGCTGATGATATGTGTTGTTTACTTGGTATTTAAATAAATATATGGTACATAAATTATTTAATTTTAATTTTAATCCTTATTTTTGTGGATCTGTAGGCACAGACACTAACATAGGTATATCACACAACTTGTGATACAGTTAGTGGGGAGCTTGATATGGGAAGATATCAGGGGGCCGTCAGGCAGATGAGGGAGCTAAGCAACCGGTGTTTGTCAGCTCTTTCCGAGCACGAAAGATTTGTGCAGCCTCCAGCAGACATTCAACAATTAGTTGTTGCAGCCCTATTTCTTGCATNGGACTGTTATCGGCGCATCACTAGGCTACTTATCGAACCACCGATGTCACGGCCTGACATGAGTTTTCAGCCTATCGACAGTATCATCGAGCTGATGATATGTGTTGTTTACTTGGTATTTAAATAAATATATGGTACATAAATTATTTAATTTTAATTTTAATCCTTATTTTTGTGGATCTGTAGGCACAGACACTAACATAGGTATATCACACAACTTGTGATACAGTTAGTGGGGAGCTTGATATGGGAAGATATCAGGGGGCCGTCAGGCAGATGAGGGAGCTAAGCAACCGGTGTTTGTCAGCTCTTTCCNTGACATAGGTATATCACAACTTGTGATACAGTTAGTGGGGAGCTTGATATGGGAAGATATCAGGGGGCCGTCAGGCAGATGAGGGAGCTAAGCAACCGGTGTTTGTCAGCTCTTTCCGAGCACGAAAGATTTGTGCAGCCTCCGACAGACATTCAACAATTAGTTGTTGCAGCCCCATTTCTTGCATGACAGCGGGGAGTACACATACCTTGACTGCCAGCTGGACGGGCACATGAGCAGACTCCCCCACCGGCCGTGGATACTGCAGTGACATTATCTGAGGTAGGCTCATCGGCTGCATATGTTCCCCAGACTGTTGCAGAGGCAACCCCATTTATCCCATATATTCCAGCTTTTGATTTTGACATTCCTACACCGGTCGTTCACCATCAGTCTTCATCACCGCTTGATCGTCCTATAGTTACATCATGTGGGCCACTGCTGACCTTTCCATGTGTTGATGCATCGGCAACTCCATTCACACCTACACTAGAGCCATGCATTACAGTAGATACATCACTTCCATCTGTTGGGGCATGTATTCCATGTATTGTTCCACCGATACCCATACAACCTACTTCTCTTGTTCCATATGATGACAGCTCCGATGATGCTGAGGTTCCAACTGAGGGAGTTACACAGGACCCATCACTGTCACACATAGGTTAAGGCAGACGTCGGCATGGAGTTGATCTTCATACACACCGTACACATGATCCAATTGATGGTGGAGTCATGGAAGATATACTGCCTCCACTTGATGGTCAGCGGCCCAAGCGGCAGAGGAGACCACCACCTTGTGGGACATTGTCTTTTTTTTTGACATTTGTTTGTATACAATTTGTAAATATTATTTTTGTATATAAAATTTGTTTGTGTTCATAGTTTCATATAATGTTTTGTCATTACTACCTTTCAGATTATTTATTCAATACTCTAAAGACATGTTTGTTGAATAACATAACATAAATTATTGAAATTTAGATTGACATTACAAATTGGAGTAGCACACCATATTTTCTAGAAATAAAATACAGAAACATAATACATAAACATATTGCAAACACAAGTATGACGACGAAAGTGTAAATATTACAACACAATATTTCCATGACATTTTTCATGTGTTTTCATCTTCGTCAGACAGGTAATGATCAGAAATACATCCACCTTCACCACTTAATTAGTAGCTTAAAATTTCTTCTTGCATCCTCCTTGTCCAGCACAGTTGCTTGCAATACGGCACAGATTGTACCGATTGCAACGAATTGTCATTCGATTGTTCTTAACTCGAATGCAAAACAATGTTCGTTCTAATTCTTGAGGAGTGTTAATAGGCATACCAATGGAAATCTATTATGTTGCAAGAACGTAAATCTAAGCTTAGATTTTCTCTTTCCGTCAAGCGATACTGTCATTCCACCATCATTGTGTTCGTAGCTATTAATGAATAGCGTAACTAAGGATTTGTTGGGTAAAAGAACTCATCCTCTAAAGTCCAATGATAACCTAGAGTTTCAAATAGGATTCTCGGACTAAAATTCTTTGTTAGAGATAAATTCTGTACATTAAACATTTCACATGAGTTCATACTTATAGACAATTTATTTATGTGCATATGCAAAAGACATTAGATCATTATGTAGTCACAACCACGGACTACACAATAATATGTACTCACAGTCATACGAACTGACATTTAACCAGTATTTAGTCATAGTAACCTAGTGTGTTATCATATTCCACTAACAATGATGCAATTGTCAATCATTGTAACTATTTTTAATTCAGCAGCACTAATGTGTTGTCACATTTCACATCCTGTGACTACACAATAATTACTAGCCACAAACCCTAATAATATTAAACGTATCATGGGTCGTGAATCACCATGAAGCAGGATGAATCAGGGTTTATTAAAATCAATGGACTACATTTCTCAATGTGTTGTCACAGTCACTGCGTACTAGTGTCTATTTTTGCTAACATGTAATAGTGTATAGTCACGCGTACTGCACAACTTGTTACTATTTGACCATTGTTAAGTTGAGATAATTAACATAACACAATATTAGAGGCAATATTAGAGAGAAAGAGAGAGGTTAAAAACTTAACCTAACTCTCATATATCACTTGTATTTATATTTAACCTACAATAATAAGAATTATATATATACCCTCATACTATTAACAATTTAGACATACTACTCTACTATTCTTAACACTCCCCCTCAAGCTAGACTATATGTATCATATAATCCAAGCTTTGAACAAATAGCTGTAAGATGTGTACAACTCAATGCTTTAGTAAACATATTTGCAAGCTGATCATCAAATTTCACAAATAGAGTTATAATCTCCCTAGCTACCATCTTGTATCGAATAAAGTGACAATCAACCTCAATGTGCTTGGTTCTCTCGTAAAACATAGGATTAGCAGAGATATGGATAGTTGTCTGGTTTTCATAGAACAATTGTAAAGAAAATTGAACTAGAAATCCAATTTCCTGGAGAAAGTGTTGTAGCCAAGTCAACTCACTTGTCGTATGTGTCATTGCCCTATACTCAGCTTCAGCACTGGATCTTGCTACCACAGGTTGTTTCTTACTTTTCCATGAGACAACATTACCTCCTAAGAAAGTACAATAACCCGTGGTTGATCTCCGATCAAAAGAAGAGTCAGCCCAATCAGCATCTAAGAAACCTTCCACTCTAAGATGTCCATTAGCTCGATATAACAGTCCAAGTCTAGGAGCTCGTTTGAGATATCGCAGAATACGAGTAACTACCTCCCAATGTGGTATTCTAGGACATCCCATGAACTACCTTACTATGCTGACTACATAGGAAATATCCTGCAAAGTAATAGTGAGATAGTTAAGCTTCCCAACCAATCTGCGACACCGACCTGGATTCTCAAACAATGCACCATCATCCATCAATAATTTCTTATTTGGATCCATAGGAACATCAATCGGTCTACCACCCAGCAAACCTGCTTCCTCAAGCATATCAAGTACATATTTCCTCTTGGATAAGCAAATACTCTGTTTAGATCAAGTCACTTCAATAC